CCACTGAGCCATCTCACCAGCCCTATTATTATTATTATTATTATTATTATTATTATTATTATTAGACTATGTCTGAGTATGCAATCCAGGCTGGCCTTGAACTATGTAGCCCAGGTCTGTCTATTGCAACTATCTTCCTGCCTCAGCCTCCCAAGTACTAGGACTAAAGGCATGTACCCCCACACCCAGCAGTTTGTAAATTATTTTAAATTGGCAGGTGTTCCCTTCCTGATAGGTTTACAAAGGCTAATGAGCACTGATATCAATTTAGAATTTAAACACCGAGGACTGAAAGTGTAGCTCAGTGGCACAGCACAAACTCAGCATGCACAAGGCCTCAGGTTCAACACCTGCACTGAATGTAAGTAAGACAAAATAAAAACCAAACTCATGGTGACTTCAATGGGCTGGTTTCTGAAGGAAATCTTTCTTGCTAACAGTCTAAATGAAAAGTCTGCCTAACTTCAGTCAGCTTTGGCTACTAGGTTACTTCCATGTAAGATGGACGGAGAGGCACTCGGGTATTATGACGTACATAAAGCACTTTAATAGCTTGTCTACACTATAAATCCCATTTCTATCTCCCAGTGTTCCTTCCTTCTGGAAGGCTTTACCTTCTCTCCCCAGCTCTAGCTCTTGTATTCTCGTTGATCTTTTTTTTTTTCTTTCCTGTTGATCTTTTTAAAATAAAGACAACAAGAGAAAGGAACCCATAAATGAGGAGGAAGGAGACAAGAGACACCAGTGAGCCCTGCTGTGGCTGAAGATGATGGTCTGGATGGGGCTACACCGGGCCAAGGAGGCAGCAGTGGGGTCCCTCCCTGCACCCCTTGACTGCTTTCCATCCCACTCACCTGGACAGATGGCTGGTGGACATTTTCTCTCCTCTCGCCACATCTCTTTCCCCTGCTCCAGCTGTGTGATGAGTTTTGGTTTAGAAAATGGAATTCCTGCTCCCGTAAAAAGAAAACAAAGTAAAGAAAGGCTCTGGGGGCCGGACCTGGTGATGCACACCTATAATACCAGCACTCCAGAGACAGAAGCAGCACAATGGCTTGATAATTATACTGTGGATTTCTGCTGGTCTAAGGAAAGGTACAGTTAATGTTTAATTTTTTTGTCTTTTTTCCTTTTTTTGTCCTTTTTTTTGTTTTTTCATTTATGTATTTGGTACAGGGTCTCACGACGCAGCTTGGTCTCATAGTGATCCTCGTGTTCCCTAGCACTGGGGTTACAGGTGTGCATCACCACGCCTGGACTCAATCACTGGCTTAGCGCACCCCGGGAGTGGGGCTGGTGCAGCATGCAGGACCAGGAATCGAACCCTGGGTCCTGTGCTTGCCAAAATAGGCGCTTATCTACTGAGCTATCTCGCCAGCCCTCTTCTTTCTTCTTAATTTCTTATAACTTTTTTCTTTCTTTTACAATTTTTTTTTAATGTATTTGGTTTTTACAGGGTCTCCCTACACAGCTCAGACTCATAGTAATTGATCCTCCTGTTTTCAGCCTCCCCAGCCCTGGGATTATAGGAGAACGCCACTACGCCTGGGCTCTGTGGCCAGATCAGCCTGCCCTGGAGGTGGGGCTGGTGCAGCATGTGGTGCTGGGGAACCAGTCCCTGCACTTGCCTATGCAGGAATTTAGTCCACTGAGCTATCTCGTCAGCCCCTCTTTTTCCAATTTTGCATGCATATATCTGATAATCTGAATAACTAAATTGAAGACAAAACTATGCAATACAACAAATATTGTCAAGTTCATATTATTTTGTTTAGTGAAATTCTCTATCATTTCTAATTTCTTTATTGCTACTTTGTATTCTCTTTAAAAAAATGAAAAACACAAAAAAAAAATAAATAAATAAAATAAATTTAAAAAAAAATAAAAAACAGGACCAGGGAGATAGCTCAGTAGAATAAGAGCCTCCTGGCAAGCACAAGGTCCTGAGTTCAATCCCCCGTAGTGCAAAAATAATAAAAACAAAAAATAAAAAAACAGAAATGTACATGTATGCATATAAGAATTTACTAATGTGTAAATAAAAATATCTTCAACAATTTAAAACTCAACATATTGAGACATAATTTATATATATTTAAATTTAGTTTTAACTGTACAGTTTAATTATGCTTAATTTGTAGGCTGGGGACATAGTTCGGCATCTAAGCGTCTGTCTGGCAAGCACAAGGACCTGGGTTCAATCCCTGGTGCCACATGCCATACCAGCCCCAGAATCCCAGGCACATGATGCCAGCTACTGAAACTGGGTGTCGTGGTACATGCCTATAATCCTAGCACTGGGAAGGCTGAGACAGAAGGATTAGCTCAGAAGGTCTGAGCTGCATAGTAAGACCCTGTACCAAATAAATAAAAGATTAAAGGAAAAGAAAAGTAGGAAGTGGAGTCACAGGCCACCTGAGTGAGGATGTGCAGAGGGTACAAAAGGACCTGGGCCAGTGTGGAGGTAAGCTCCACAAAGATCCCCCAATACTAGTCTTTGCTGGGGGAGGTACCTCTACCAGTTAAAGAGGTTAACCTGGGAAGAGAGCCCTGACCTAAGAAAAACAGCCTAAAAAATGCCAGAAATAGAGGGTATCTCACACACATGTACCCTCACACATGCACCACCTACGTATGTTCAACTCTACAATTTCAGACCTTCCTAGAGAAACAACAAAACATCTTTGCTTTTCAGTCTGACCCAGCACCCAAGTCAATAAGGCAAGATGGTGGCCTGCATGGTCCAAACTTTCTAGCAGTGAGCACGACTTACCAAGAGACACCAGGTGGCTGTAGGTCTCCAGCATCACCTCCCTGTATAGACTCCGCTGGGCAGGACTCAGCAGGCGCCACTCCTCCTGGGAGAAATCCACAGCCACATCCCTGAACGCCATATGCGCCTGGAACACAAGACACAGTTTACTCACCAGGGAGCCAGCCTGGCTCCTGAAGGGCAGGCAGATTTCTGGATCCAAGCTTGAGCAGGACACCAGCACTGCGCCTTCCAAGAGCCTTACGCCCCCTGCCTCTACCCAGCCATGGTATTCAAAGTCCTGGGTGGGCTGCTTGGAGTATTCACACAAAAAGGAAGATCCCTAAAGTTTTGGGAATTTTAAATCCAGGCAGAAGAGCAAAACTCACAAAAAAGGTAAACAATAAAGCTTAACATGTTCTGAGTTCACAAATTTAAAAGACAGCCTCACCCAGTGATGGCAAACCCTCTAGAGCCTTCGATGCTAGCAGAGTCGGCAGTGGCACCCGTGCATCGATTCACCGCCCTGGCCTAACCTAATCAGCGGTGCTGAAGCATTTGCACAGCTGAAGTTCTTATTATCCCAACACACATTCGACTTCAATCCTTCTTCCAAATTCCATAGCCACAGCCTTCCTGGTTCTCACGGGAACAGATGCAGTACAGGGAAGCACTCAAAGCAAGGATCTGGAGGCCACCTCTGCCACCAACTCGTGCCTCAGTTTTTCCACTCATGAAACATGGGTCTCAGCACATTAAGCTTCCTGTCACATGCTGAGTGCTCAGAGAAGTGTTTCGAGCTCCTGAAGCTGGAAATTGATCATCTGTGGGAAGGCAGGACAAGGTCTCCTTGCCTAAAGCAATCAAGCTACCTCAGTCTTGAGAAAAGCATCTTGCCTGGACACTGTGGGCTATTAATTGCTAGGCAACCTCATATCTTGCAACTTGGTAAAGATATAAGTACAAGAAAGGCCCTTACTATTCTTGGGGGGAAGCTTTGCCTATCAGACTTGGCCTACCACCTGACCTCAGCTATTATCTCTTATCTTCATTTTCTCAATCCTTTCACCATTTTCTCCCAAGGACTACCAAGAGACCAACAGATCCCTACACAGGGAAACTGTTAATGTTTGTGTCTAGTTGTCCTCCCAAAGCCTAGTGCAGTTTGTGATTAACTCATGATACACTGTATTATGGGTGTGAGGGCTACAGCCAGCCCGGGGCAGAGAACCTGAGGGCAACAAGGGAGACAGACTTGCTCTCTGTAGCCACTGTTGCTGCTACTCCTCCTATTAGCTCTTGCTGTTTTGCTGTATTCCACCGCCATGAGCTGCTGGCCTCTGTCATGTGCTACTCTGCCTTGGAGCCAGGTGAGTATGGACTGAAACCTCCACTAACTGTGAGCTAAATAAACCTTCCTTCCCTAATTTTGAGCATCGGTTATTTGTCCCAGAGAGAAGAGTAACTGAGACATGAACTTGGACATGGAAACATCTCTGTACCTGTCCTTGTCCCCTGCCCAGCTTTATTCTTTTTATCATCTTGGCACTGTTTCAGAAGGGAGGATGCACTGGAGTAGAGTTCGGAGCCCAGGGTTAGAAGAGGAAACAGAGGGAAAAAGAAAGTGGGAGGGTCCTGGATGAGGCCATAGGGAGCAGGGGCCAGGGTCCTGCAAGCAAAGCACGAGGGCCACCACAGGTAGGGAGGACCCTGGACAGATGAAGCATAGGTACTGCCCCATACGGGACAGAAGCAGCAGCCTCTGTAAGGCTTTTAATTTTTACACAGAACACAGATTTACTATTTTTACCACTTCAAAGCACACAGTTCAGTGACATTAAGTGGACTCACAATGCCATACAGCCATGGCTGTTGTTCATCTCCAACACATTTTTTTTTTTTTTTTTTTTTTTGCGGTACCAGGGATTGAACTCAGGACCTTGTGCTTGCCAGGCAGGCACTTAAGCCACTGAGCTACATTCCCCAGCCCAACACATTTTCTACTTTTCCCTACTGAAGGCCTGGAACAGTAACTTCCCATTTGCCCCTTCCGCCAGCCCCCAGACACAACCATTTTACTTTCCGTCTCTGTATGCCTGGCTCTATGTAACTACGACAATTGGAATCACAGAAGGTATGCCCTTTTGTTTGCCATATGGCACTCGCAACCATCACTCCAGGATTTGTCCGTGACAGAAGTGTACACTAAGCAATATTTCACTGTATGCATATTACTTTATTTATTCCTTATCAATGGACATGTTTTCTGGCTACTGTGAATAAATCTGCAATATACACTGGTGTACAAACATTTGAGTTTTTGCTTTTGAATCACGAGTAGACTGTGCAGGAGTGGAATTACTGGGGCAGTTGGCCATTCATGTTCAGCTTCCTCATACTGTTTTCATACCACTTCCACTAGCAATGTACAAGAGTTCCACTTCCTCTGCATCCTAACCAACACTGCTTTCTGTTTTTCTGCATCAGCTGTACTAACGGCCCCAAAGCAGTATCTCCTCCGGGCCTTCGTTTCCATTTCCTACCGATTCATGATGGCGAGGATCTCTTCATGGGCTTACTGGCTGCTATTGGCTGGATGCTGGCTATGGTCTTCAGGAGGTGCTACTGGCAAACAGTGGAACACACAACAGTCGGGCCTAATAGGAGGTCTGTAGGTCACTGGGGAGTGTACCCAAGGGGACTGTGGAGTGTCTCCAGCCCATTTTTCTCTTTGTCTCTGGCTCATAACAGAAGCGGTTTTGCTTTGCTATGTAGTATTGCCTTACCACACACCCAAACCAATGGGGCCAACCAATCAGACAGAAAACTCCAAAACTGGCTACAAACCTTTTTTTTCTTTGTAACTTTACTATCTCAGGTATTTCACTACAGTGGGGGGAAATGGACTGACCCATCAGTCATCTGTGTGTCTTTTCTGCAAAAATGGGTATTAAATACTTTGTCCAGTTTTCATTTTGGGGTGTTTTTTGTTGAACTGTAGGCACTTTACTCTGAATATTAATCATTTATGAAATATGACCCGCAAATATATTCTCTTTGATGAGCAAGTCTTA